TTGTTTTTTTTTTTTGAGTGGGAGTCTCACTCTTGACCAGGCTGGAGTGTAGTGGCACAATTGCGGACACTACAGTCTTGACCTGCTGGGCTCAGGCTATCCTTCCGCCTCAGCCTTCCAAGTAGCTGGAACCACAGGTGCACGCTACCACGCCTGGCTTATTTTTTTTATTTATTGTAGAAACGAAGTCTCACCAAGTTTTCTAGGCTGGTCTTGAACCTCTGAGCTCAGGCAGTCCTTTCGTTTCGGCCCCCCAAAGTGCTGGGATTACAGGCTTGGGCCACCATGCCTGGTTTGTACCTTGTTTTTTACTTCGTATGTCTTAGAGAGTTTGGACATATAGCTAGGTCAGCTCACAGAGATTTTTCTCAGTCTCAGGGGCTGCACAGTATTTTGATTAGATTGTAACTTATGTTACCGATCCCTTATTGATGAACATTAAGACAGTGCTCATTTTTTTGCCAATACAAACTGCCACAACATGCTCATACATACATTCTTTGTGGATATGTGCAAGTGTTTATTTAGAATTCATTTAAGGAATTACTGGATCAAATAAGATATGTATTTAAGATTTTGAAAGTATTGCCCTTCAGGAGCTATATGAATTTTCACTCACCAATTTTGTGCTGTGACTTTAGAATATGCCAAACAGCTTTTCTGGAAGCAGGAGGGGTATAAATAATAAATTAATGCTTTTTAAAAACAGCCTTCAGCCAGGGAGTGACTTCCGTACTAGGGGAATCATTAGCTCTCAGTCCCAGATCGAGGCATGCCTCCAGTGCCAGCATGTCTTGCTGATTCAATGTATGCCATCTCTAAGGAGGCAGCAAAGGGAGGACTGCAACTTCCCAGTCTCAGAAGAAAAAAGCCTGCTGATGTCTTGCTTACTCTGGTTGCACCAACTCCGGACTCCACCTGCCTGGCTACTCTGGGACTGCCTTGGAAAACAGCCTCTGTCACACCTCTTACAGGAAGGGAAACAACCAGCTGGAGGGACTCAGCACCCAGCTGGTGTGAAACAGAGGCTAGTTCTGTCCAGATTTCTCAGAGAAACTGGGAGGTTACTACTTAATGGTTACTAGTTTCCTTCTTCCCCCAAATAGGGTGTGAGCATGTGTAATTTTCAAAAAACATTAAAAAAAAATTTTTTTTTTGAGTTGGAGTCTCACTCTGTCGCCCAGACTGGAGTGCAGTGGCCGCTTCCGGCCACTGCAGCCTCGGCCTGCTGGGCTCCGGCAATCCTTCCTCAGCCTTCCAAGTAGCTGGAACTACAGGCGCACGCTACCACGCCTGGCTCATTATGATTTATTGTAGAGATGAGGGCTCGCCAAGTTGCCCAGGCAGGTCTCGAACCCACAGGCTCAGGCAATCCCCTCACCTCAGCCTCCCAAAGGCACGGGATTACAGGCTGAGCCACCGAGCCTGGCTACCATTTTTCAAAAGCCTTTTAATATAGCTCAGAAAAATTTGGTGAGGAGAAGGCAGGTCGGAGGTTACAGCCCTTCTAAAAATGAAATTATTTGTGTTTTCTTTTTTAGTGTTTTCCTTTCTCCTAAAGACACAGTCTTTTTTTTTTGGACAGTGTGATTCACCCAGGCTGGAATGCAGTAGATCATGGTTTACTGTGTGATCATGGCCTACTGCAGCCTCTAATTCCTGAGCTCAAGTGATCCTCTTGCCTCAGCCTTCTGAGTAGCTGGGACTTCAGGTGTGCGCCACCACGCCTGGCTAGTTTTTTATTTTTTGTAGATATGGGGTCTCACGATATTGCCCATGCTAGTCTCCTAGAACTCCTGGCCTTCCAGAGCACTAGGATAACAGGCATGAGCCACTGTGCCCAGCCATCTATTCCTTTTAACCACAGTTCATAAGTAGTGACCAGAGAGAGTATAGGTCCTGACTCCCTCATGTGGCAGTATTTATTTATTTTTAAGACAGAAAAGGTTAAGTTTGAAGTTGCTTTTAAATTTTATTTTATTTTATTTTATTTTATTTTTGAATCGGGGTTTCACTCTGTCACCCAGGCTGGAGTGCAGTGGCACACTCATGGCCACCACAGCCTTGACCTGCTGGTCTCAGGCAATCCTTCCACCTCAGCCTTCCAAGTAGCTGGAACTACAAGTGTGTGCCACCACACCCAGCTAATTTTTAATTTTTGTTGTAGAGACAAGGTCTCACCAAGTTGCCCAGGCTGATCTCGAACCCCTGGGCTCAGGCAATCCTCTCGCTTCTGGCCTCCCAAAGTGCTGGGATTACAGGCATGAGCCACCACACCCGGCGCTTTTAAAATTTTAAAAGAAAATAAGGCTACTTTGGCATAGAGTCTGCCTTCCAGGCACAGATCCAAAGATACTTTCTTTTAAAAAAAAATATACAAGCTGGGGTCGGTTGCTCAGCCTGTAATCCTGCGCCTTTGGGAGGCTGAGGTGAGTGGATTGCCTGAGCCCGCGTGTTCAAGACCTCCCTGGGCAACTTGGCAAGACCTCATCTCTACAATAAATAAAAAATTAGCCGGGTATGGTAGCGCGCGCCTATAGTTCCAGCTACTTGGAAGGCTGAGGCAGAAGGATTGCCGGAGCCCAGCAGGTCGAGGCTGCGGTGGCCGGCAGTGGCCACTGCACTCCAGTCTGGGCGACAGAGTGAGACTCCAACTCAGAAAAAAAAAAAAAATATATATATATACAACCAACCCATGATCACATGCTTGTGATAAAATAGTACAGAAGTAGCTCTAAATAGTGTCAGAAATGAATATGTTCCCTTTAGCCCTTTCGTATACTCTCCTCCCCAGAGGTAATCAAGGTTAATGTTTTAATACATATCCATACCTCTTCCTTTACAGTTAAAAATTCACAGCTTTATACTTTTATTTTAATGGGATTCTATGCTTTGCTTTTTGCCCATTTAATATATCTTTGACATCTTTCCATATCGGTATATATATCTCAATCTCATTTAACAGCTGTATAACATGAATGGATAGAACTAATTTGTCAGTGTTACAAATGGACCTGCAGTAAACATCTTTGTACATACATGTAGACTAAATTCCTGGATGTGGAATTGTAGGTAAAGGGGTTGCATTTGCCATCATCCCTAGAAAGAAAAAAGCCAGGATCCAGGTAATTCTAGCTCTGCTGCTGGGAAAACAAAGGTTGAATAAGCAGGTATGTGGGAAATGGCTCCATGCTAAACCACCTTCTTGGTGAGTCACAAGTAGTGCATTGAAAGTTCAGGCCAGGCTTGGTTGGCTCAGCCTGTAATCCCAGCACTCTGGGAGGCTGAGGTGAGTGAATTGCATGAGCCCATGGGTTCGAGACCAGCCCGGGCAACTTGGTGAGACCGCCTCTCTACAATTAAAAAAAAAAAATTAGCCAGGCATGGTAGCATGTGCCTGTAGTTTTGGCTACTTGGAAGGCTGAGGCGGAAGGATCGCAGGAGCCCAGTAGGTCGACGCTGGGGTGGCCGTGAGTGTGCTATTGCACTCCAGGTTGGGCCACTAAGACTCCAACTAAAAAAAAAAGTTCTGAAGCCGGGCTCAGTGGCTCAGCCTGTAATCCCAGCGCTTTGGGAGGTTGAGGTGAGGGGATTGCCTGAGCCCGTGCGTTTGAGACCCGCCTGGGCAACTTGGCCAGACCTCTTCTCTACAATAAATCAAAAATTAGCCAGGTGTGGTAGCCTGCGCCTGTAGTTCCAGCTACTTGGAAGGCTGAGGAGGATTGCCGGAGCCCAGCAGGTAGAGGCTGCGGTGACTGGGAGCGGCCACTGCACTCCAGTCTGGGGGACAGAGTGAGACTCCACCGAAAAACAAAAAAACAAAAAAACTCTCTCTAAACAGTTTGGTAGGTGGCCACCATTTGCTAATCTCTCAAAGACATTGAACAGCATTTTAGGTAGCAACTTGACCACATACTGTGCCATACAGCTGGGCAACTGGAGTGGAGTTAGGTTTGGGCTTTGTGTAGGAACTAGGAGGGACCTGTCAGCCTCCCTTAAGCCCCTCACATCAGGTAAGAGGGACCCAGGGAAGACCGGCATAAATCAGTTTTGAGGCTATGGGGGAGGGGTGAAATTTCACTCTAGCCTCTGTCTGGCTGAGAGGTGACATCTGACTTAGCAGACACACTGTGCATCAGTCAGGGCCAGGCCTCCACTAAAGAGTGTAGATCCAGAATCCCTAGAGAAGGAGCCCCTTGGGGTATAAGAAGACAGCACCCTCATCCAGTTAATTGGTGAAATCATGGTTAACTTCCAAGTGTAGATGTCCACTCTGAGGCCTCTTCCAGAACCCCCAGGCCCCTAAAGCCAAATCCGAACAAACTATTCCCGGGTGCTCTTGTAGTATCCTTGCTGTACCCTTAGAGCACAAAGCCTAGTTTTGTCTTCCGGGTCATATTTACTTGGTTGTGAAGAGGAAGGGTTACGAAATGAATTATGTGCTTCACAGTCTTCCCTAATAAAGCGGGAGCTCCTCCATAGCGGGGATACTGTTCAGGCTATCACTCATTCATTCATTCAGTCGTTATTGAGCACCTACCGTGTATCAGGTATTAGCTAAACTGCTGGGAATACAGTGGTAAGGCAGCCTCAATCCCTGCCCTCCTTCTTATGTCCTGGAGTGCCAACGTCTAGCCCAAGTCCTGGCACAGTAGGGCTTAGGGATGTCAATCTAATGGGAAAGCTTGTCTTGAAGCTGCCTTTGCATAGCAAGCGTTGTTCTAACTTACAAACTGTTCTAAATATGTTCATAAACAGTGTCTCAAGTTGCACTTTCCACAGTTTATGACATCCATTTGACTGTAAGACACATACTTTAAAACTTCTGGAGCGATCTCGGGGGCCCGACGGAGAACGTGGGGTACCGAGGTGGCAGGGGCGGCCCCTCGCAAGCCCAAAGTCGGGCGGGAGCCGCCGCGCCGCCGCCCTCGGGCCCTTCCCCGCAGCCCCGCCCGCCCAGGTGCCGCCCAGCCCCGCCCCCGCTCTCCATAGTTACGGCGCGGTGGAGGCGGCGGCCATCTTGGCTGCGGAGCGATGAACGGGGCCAACCCGAAGGCTGCGGCCGCGGGGTCGGCTGCGGGGCCCGGGGGGCTGGTGACTGCAAAGGAGGAGAAGAAGGCGGGCGGCGGCGTCCTGAACCGGCTCAAGGCACGGCGGCAGGCGCCCCAGCACGCGGCCGGCGAGGGCGTCGGGGCCGCGGTCACGGAGCAGGAGCTGCTGGCTCTGGACGCCATCCGGCCCGAGCACGTCCTGCGCCTCAGCCGAGTCACCGAGAGTGAGTGCCGGGCTGCCCCGCCGGCC